AAAAATCCTGCTACTGTTTCTATTAAAGATTGCTGAATTTCAAAACAAAAGCAATACTAGAAAAATCCTTGGAAGAGACTAATGAATATGACAATTAATAAAACTAATAAAATTGATTTTTAATTGCAGTATAATTAAAAAATCTTTAAAAGAACTAGATAAAGCGTACCTACTAAAACAATACTAAACCATGACAATTTTATTACACGCTTCAGATCTTATTAATTTTCTATAACAAAACGTGGTTTTGTACATCTAAAGCATCCTTAAAAGATCCTTCTAAAGCTCACATCAGTTTTCCATGTTAAAGCATTATTTCGTAAAATCTAAAGCATCCCTGAAAAATCCTTCTAAGCCCTTTCTCAGCTTTCCCTATCACAGCCTTGTTTATTAAATTTAAGACATCCCTAAAAAAATTTTTCTAAGGCCCTCAATTTTTCTTATCAAAGCCTTATTTCATAAAATCCAAAGTATCCCTAAAAAAACCATGTCGGGGCCTGATGTTGTAATAATGAGACATCCCTTTTTAGGGCATCTTATTTTCAACCTGATCGAGGCCTTATGCTTCATAAGGATGTCTCCAGCAATCTTTTGCTCGGGATGTTTCAAGTTCGTTTCCAAAATACCGTAGTGTCAAAAATGTCTTTACATTTCTCCCTCCCCCCCTCTCTCTCTCTCTCGGAGCGGCCAAGGAGCCACGATGTGCCACAACGCCGGCGAACGAAGAGATATCCGCATCGTGCGACGCGAAATCAATCGAAGCGCTTCGCACTCCCGATTCGAGATTCCGCAAAACTAGTTTCCCGGAAAGTTCACATTAGCCCCGAGCGAACGCGAAGCGCGGCGCTTTGGCAGCGGGGGCACCGAGCAATATTAAGCAGTTTGCGTAAATGACGCCCCCGGAGCGACGTGGCGCCCCGGAGAACGGCAGACGACGGAGACGATTAAACGGCGGATTAAAAACGGCGCCGGTCTCGGATCGTTTGGCATAAGATAGCGCGAGCGGCAGCGCAAAACGTGGAGGCGCCGCGTCGCGCGATCGCCTCGTTGAATTGGCAATTACGCTGCGATGTGTCGGGCCGCCGTGTCGTGGCGTTATTAGTCGCCGGGCTTACGCAGGCCGATTCTTCGATTTAATTAATTCTCGCTACCGTGCCTCCTCTGCCTAACCCGCGCCCCCTGCCCTAGCCGTCACACCCGCGTCACCGTCTCTCGGCCTGAGCGACTCTTAATCGAGTGAGACGGGAAACTGTATTATTAAATCGACAAAGTCGAATTAAAAGTGCGCGTCACCCTGGGCATGTCGAACACGGTAGTCTGGAAACGAAGCTTTTAGAGCGCCTTCAACGAGGTGCGGGCGAACGAACGAACGAACGAACGAACGAACGAACGAACGGACGAACGGACGAGCGAACGAGCGGACGAACGAACGTGATGTTTGACGAGAGCCTTTCAGTAAATAAATCAAATTGCCGCTCCGTGGCGGATGAGCTAGAAATGCCTGTCCTCGGCACTACACGTTCGATACTTCGATTTTGATTTCGTAATGTAAACAGCGGAGTAATATCCATTATTAGATTGTTATGAAAAGTTTAGGATATTCCGGGCGCGCGCATATCTTCTATCATAATAATTTTCCGTCGGGACGGACAAATAAGTGATGCGCGATGCGAGCCGAACGGATCGCGCGAGTCGCTTCAATTTTTACATTTCCTAAATTCAAACGGTTCCTGCAAAGTTGGAGCGCATCGGGAGTCACTCGCGCCGGATCGGCCGCGCTTGTTGCGTCGGCCGAGCGACGAAGAGGAAAAGCAGGCTGGGCGGGAGAGAAAAGGGAAAAGAAATGTAAAATTTAATCAGAAATAATTTCGTAGCGGCGCCCGCGGTTTAATTACGCCGGCGAGTTTACGACAATCGGAAACCAGACGAGACGTTAATTCTTAAGGCAATTTATATTTATAGCTTCGTTACGCCAGTCCGGATTCTATTCGCACCTTCGGCGCGTCGAGCGGTCCCCGGTCGCAGCGGCAATTTCCACCTCGCTCATCACGTTTTCATCGGGAAACAAAAAAAACACACGCGCGCGCGCTCAGGGAGAGACGAGGATCGAGCCGCGGGAAAAAAAAAGGGGAAAAATATAACCGCGAGAGAAAGCGAAATCGACGAATCGCGTCCGTCCGGATCCGGGCTTCCCCGTCGTTCGCGCGAAAACAACGTTCGCCAGGCGCGCCGACACAATTCGCCTCTGCAATAATCACAGACCTCGATAAGCCGCGGAATTAGCCGCGGTGTTTGCATTTTCACCGGGCATCCCACGCCGCGCGCGCTATCCGGGAATTTCGTAAATAATTTCCGAGGCCAACCGGTCCGAACGCCGCGCGGCGCGCCGCGCCGTCCATTCGTATATATCCGAACACCCCTCGCCCCGCGCCCTGGCGCAACCCTTCCTGAATCCAATACACCAGCCGGTAATTTCGCGGCGCGGTCGCATCGACGTGTTCCGAACTGGTTTTCCGCCGTTTCCTTTCCTTTTTTTCCGCACACCTCCGCCCGCCCCCGCCGCGGCACCCCCCCGTATCCCGTCGCCACCACCTCGTCGGTCTCCTCCTGTCTGTGCGTGGGCGTCTGCCCGCGCGCGTGTGCGTTTGTCCAAATGGAGAGCGGGGTTGGGGCCGAAGGCAAAACTCCGGAAAATTGAAATTAATGAATAGTCACCCCTCCCGTACGCGCGCGCGCGCGCGCGCGTCGCGTAGCTTCCTCGCGCTCTACGTCGGGACCAATGGAAAATCCGCCTGGCGAACAAAGAGGGCCGCGCGCGCGGCGATGCCATAACGACGCCCGTGGGGAGGCTTCTTCCCTGCGCGTCCCCGGAGGACCGACGTCGGGGGGTCTCGTCGGCGTCACCTTACACGCGACAAATGCCTTTTTAATGAATCTCCGCCTGATGGATTTTCTTTTTTTCGGCCGTTATGAATTATGCAGACTCGCGCCCGCGCCCGATCGAGAATTTAAACGAGAGCTCGAGTTGTTAACTACGACATATAAATAATTGGAGGGTTTATCTCCCTCTCCGCTTTCGGGAGCAAGAAGAAAGGGAGAGGGAGAAACAGCGAGATTTAAAGCCCACTAATTACACACGTGTAATTCTACCCTCCGCTCTCCACATCTTCCGGTTTTGTTCCCGAAAAAATTATTTTCCCCGGTTCACGATCCCTCCTCCTTGCCGATCTGTCCCAAGACGGATTGAGACTTTGCGCTATGTGTTAGGTCTAGCAGTGTTCATTGTTTCCGATTTTCGATAATTTTCAATCTTTATTTAAATATCAATAGAACAAGATTAACCAATGAAATATTCTCCGTTGAACTTATCGATGGATTTACGCCATTAATCGGACAGTTGCCGAATCTCATCGCGATAGAAGCTCGGTGGCTTTGAGGCTGTAAAGTCGTCGATGAAATTTCGTACGTCGCCAAGTATCGAAAAATATGTATCAGACAGAGCCGCGTGTTGCATCGATCGAAACAAGTGAAAATCTGATGGAGCCAAGTCTGGAGAATACGCCCAAATATGAGATGGTTTCCTTTGTATGGCTCCTGCTGTATGCGGTTTAGCATTGTCGTGCAGCAGGATGACTCAACGGCTGTCTTATCCAGTAAATGGCCTTTCCCTCTCAATTGCATCGCTCAAACGTATCAATTATTCTTGGTAAATCTCTGTTTTAATGGTTTTAAGAGTATGACTCATAGTACAGTATACACTTATGGTCCCACCATATACACACTGAGAAAAAATTGTACTAAAATGAAACAAATATTTGTTCGAATACAACTGTTCGAAACGACTAATATCATAAATGAAATACAGAGGTTCTCTGAATGTAAACTTTTTTCCTGAATTTCGGAAAATAATTGTTTAATTTAAATAAATGTATTCACAGTCGTATTCGAACAAATATTTGTTTAATTGTAATATAATTTTTTCTCAATGCAGAGAACTTCTTTTCCGAAACGTTTAAGTTTTACTATCGACATTGTTGGTTAATCAGGATCTACCTATGATATTTTGCGTTTAGGATTTTCATACATAATTCATTTCTCATCATCTATTACGATTTTGTGCAAAAAAATTTTTTTTATTATCTGGCAAAGTAACGCAGCGATCAATCAGCGATTTTTGTTGTCAATGGTTAGCTCGTGTAAAACCCACTTCCCTTCTTTCTGTATGTTTCCCATAAGATGTAAACGATCATAAATAACTTTCCGCTTTACTCCATCTTTGCTGCAAGTTCTTGTTGTTTGTGCCATATTTTCATTCAGCAGATTTTGCAACTCCTCGTCTTCAAATTTTGCTGGCTGACCGGGACATGGTTGATCGTGAAGGTCAAAATCACTACTTTGAAAACGTTCAAACCAATTTCGGCACGTGCGATCGGTCATAGCATTTTCGGCATAAACAAAAATTATTTCGGCTGCTTCAGAAGCGTTTTTACTTAAATGAAGTGCGAAATGCATCGCGTATCGAATACGCTCTTTGTTCATAGCCATCGTGAACACTACTGATTATTTGTGGTTATGTGCATCAAACGCCAAACCATATGTCATTTTGGAAAGTTAAATGTCAATGCTTTAAAACCGCAAAAGAGCGGGAGAATATTTCAATTTCAAATTTTGCTTTGAGCTATGTAAAGAATTAACTACTTTAACCAAAAAACCAGAAAAACCAAAAAAGTCAATTAATAACCAAAAAATCAGAATTAACTACTAAATCTAATATATTTTATGTTGAACCAATCGCGATTGGTGCAATAATTAGTTCGACGTCTCTACGTGGTGTATCTTAAGAGATAGCTGTGTCTCTTTAGATACGTACTCATTAGCACGTATTATCGAAAGATCACGCTTGAAATAAAAAGTTACTGGAGACTCGATTTATTATTCTTATCAGTATTACATAAATCTCCGTGGGAGAACACACCTGAGAGTGTCTTATCGATTTTTAGTCGACCGATCCGTGCGAGAAGGCTAGAGCACTCGCTGTCTCAAGATCGGCATTGTACTGCCGTAGCCTCGTGCAGGAGGGCACTTTTGGTCGCGTTTACAAAGGCTCTCTGGATTTAGCCGGGAGGGAGCAGGAAGTCATCATAAAGACAGTCACAGGTGAGAGAATTTATTTCTGAGAAGTCATAACGGAGAAATCTGATTTTAACCCTTTAACGCCCGACTTCTTTATAAGTGTTTTAAGAATAAAATTTGAGCTTTTTTGAACTGACACTATAAGTAGTGATAACCAAAAAAATATCAAAATTTTATATCTACGAAAAACTACGAATTTTCCAATGTAAAGTAATGTAAAGTAAAATGTAAAGTAATAGTTTACTTCTGAACGAATAAATTTGTATTTTTTTTTGTAAATATAACGGTAAAAGTGATAAACATGGACACACTCAGAGATGGTTATCCAGATGGAAAAACCGCGAAACAATTACACGGAAAATCAGCATCAATCGTTTACTTCTGAATAAATGAGTACATGAAGATTCCGCTTTTTGTTTGTTGGTTTCGTTAGTTTGAATTTTTTTATCATTCGTTTTTTGTTTATTGGTAAATACGACTTGGATCCTAAAAGCATATACGAAATGAGCAACCTATGCAGAGAAAAGTGAAGGGTAATCTATACGACATAACTCTGATAGTCAGCTTGACTATTTTTGAGCTGAAACCTTACTATATTTGTGAGTGAAGTTTATCATTCAGAGCGTCAAGCTTACTATTTCAGAAGAATATCTTATTGATCACCATTTAAATAGATTCAATCGTCCCTTCATTTTTCGTCACATAAAAAACTGTAGGTCACCAGGTTTCACGAAGATAGGTTGATTTCTTGATTTTCGTGTCCATCATATTGAATTCGCCATTTTGAATTTCTTTATTCTTTTAATTTCACATTTTGCATCTGAGAAAGCTTCCAAATGTATAAAATTATAACAGATACCAATCTATTCATTTATAGTGCACTTCTAGATGTTAGTAACAATGCTAACTATGCCTACTTGGAATTTGACAAAACATGTTATCATTAAAATTGAGCTAAAAACAGACTAAACCGAATTTACATACAATTTATATAGCATTTTTTAGAAGAAGAATTCACCTTTACAATGGTTTACCTTTACAAAGAAAACGAAAATATCTCCTTTTTTGACTAAGTTATGAATTCTTAAAAATGCGTTTCTGGTAACTATAGTTACCAGTAAGCGTTAAAGGGTTAAGTAGCAAGCCTGCAAACATGATATCGTGTGTAAAGCAAGTCAAATATTTTTTTTTCGATTATAATTTCTTCCAAGGATACAGAGACGCGTTTGTTCAGCTGAAATTTTCGGTTTTATAATAAATGGACGATTGTATGTGCGGCGAATCGATCAATTACGAAGAGCAACTTGAATCTTCCGTGCGAAGAAACGGGAGACACAGTTCGTGCACATCAGCGAGTGAGAATACCTGTTCAAGATAAAATAGAAAGTCGGTGTACCTACAATCGGCTACCTGCGTTTCACGACTGGGCCGAGCAGCATTTGTCGGCTCGGTACTCGAGCGTGAAACGTTGAATGCTCACGACGCAATTTCTGAAAACGCAATATTATTCAAGCCGAACGATTATTTGCGTAGCTTGTAATCGAATTTTGCGATGGATTCACTCTGTTGGAAATATTTTCGTGCGCAAACTGTTCTCTCTCTCTCTCTCTCTCTCTCTCTCTCTCTCTCTCTCTCTCTCTCTCTCTCTCTCCCCCCCTCCCCCCCCTCTCTCTCTCTCTCTCTCTCTCTCTCTCTCTCTCTCGCTGTCCCAACGATAGAAAGAGAGAAACTAAACACGAGCGAGCGCTGAAATTATAGTATCGCGAATCGTGTCCATTCCAGAAGTGGCGTCCGCTTACCAAGCCTCTCTTTTGGTGGTGGAGGGCTCGCAACTGGCCGGATTAGTTCACGCCAACATCGCCTCTTTGGCGGCCGCTTGCCTGGACAGTTCGTGTCCCTTGCTGGCTTACACGAGCACTCCCGGCGAGCTGATCTTGAAGGTCTATCTTACCGATGGAAATCATCATCCGGTGACTAGAGACCTGGTGCACGTTGGCGCACAGGTTGCCAGGGCTGGAGCGTTTCTGCACGGTCGAGGACTGCTGCACAGGTGAGAATGGCGCGAATCGCGTAGTCTACATCTCCATTTTGACGCTATTAAATTCAATTATGTCGACGAATAAATTTCGCAAAGCTCCCCATTATTCTCTGCGTAGTACCACATAATGTATAACTGCAGTTACAACGAGAGGATCAACTGCTCTTGAAATTTGTCAAAATCAGTTATAGACGTTAAATGATTAAGAAGAGTTTACACGTCAAACAAACCGAAAGTGTCATGTCTCGTCAATATCTAGCGGGTTATTTGTTTTATCGAGATTTATTGTCCAGATGACGGTCATTATCACGCTTTTGAAATTTGTGACAAAAGACGTAGCCAATGGTATTTTAAATGATTAAGAAGAGTTTACACGTCAAACAGACCAAAAGTATCATGTCTCGTCAATATCTAGCGTGGTTATTTGTTTTATCTGTATTTGTTGTCCAGATGACAGTCATTATCAGCTGAGCCGTTCTCCTGTCTTTTGGCCCTTTGACCGAATAATTTCTATTGCTTCATATAATTCAAAGGCTAAACGAGCACATTAACAATTATTATTATATCGTTATATTATCGTTAGTTATGACAAAAATATTCCGCTGTAGTTTCATCTGCCGTTGTAGAAGAAGCAACGGTTTCGGTCCGCATTTTGCTCAGTATAGATCAATTTTATTAGGGGTATCGAAAAGTGTCTTTTCATTTTTATCATAAAACTTTGCGTGAAAATAATAAAATAAAGTTCGATCTTAATGAAAGTTGATATACATAATAAAGAAATATTAGCTAACCTGGAATTTAAATTGATTCTGAATTAAGGGGGGGGATTACATGCAGAAGGTTGTTTTCAAGGCTATTTTTACGAATTTTTTTAACAGGATATAAATGATAAGATCAATGAGCTTGAAATTTTCACAGTGTATTCATTAATGTTCAAAGTATAAAATAAATTTTATTGAATCACAAGAACCAACCCAATTTGTAATTATAGATAAAAATGCAGTTATCCGTTTGCGAGCTCTATGTTTGCTCTATGTTTATATGTCGACATAATTCCGGGCCTCTCACTACTCTGAAATAAAAAAATGAGAAAGATTTTTAAAATATACGATTGCTATTATAGCCCGTACCAAAATGAAGGCAGCGAAGCCAAGTTTGGAAAAATAATGACTGTTCAAAGAAAATATCGAAAATGAAACTTTTTCAACTTGTAATCATGTTTAAAAAAATGAATAAAATAAAATATAACTGTGTTCGAAGTAGGAGCGAAAAGTACATATACTGTATATTGTATAAAAATTTTGAGTTACTTGGTTCAGTAGTTTTTGCATAATCGTGTCGACAATTTAAGAAAATGATGTTGGTAAAGTTTTATATGTACTTTCCATATAGATAATAACAAATTTATTTTATACTTTGAACATTAATGAATACACTGTGAAAATTTCAAATCCATCGATCCTACCATTTTTGTAAAAAAAAAATCGTAAAAATAGCCTCGAAAACAGCCTGCTCCGCATGTAATTCCCTCCTTACAATTAAGGACCCATATTATACCACGGAAGGCCTTAGGATACGAAAAGACTTTCCGGTATCCCTAATATGTCAATCGGACATGAGATGTACGTGCAAAGGAGCCTGACGTTATTAATTGAATTTTATTGAGAAACGCGAGACCCAGGCGATTGGACACCGTCACGGCGGCTCCTTCAGCCGACACTCCGCGCGAGTAAAATCATCCTCGCGGCTGGCGCTTATCTCTTGACGCAGGGATATAAGATCTAAGCGCTTCTTGCTCTTGCACACGCATACGGGTGATATTTCTCCGGGTGAATTATCGTCGCGACAGCACAAAGCTGCCAATAAAGGACCAATGTCCCGGCGGCGGCGACAGTGTAGGCAGCGCGACCAGTCACGTTTATCGCCGGAATGTCAACGCGATCGTTTCCGCCTCAGGATCGATAATTCGTTTTCAGGGATATCGCGGCCAGGAATTGCCTGATCGAGCCGGCCAGTCTTCGCGTGAGATTGGCTGACGCTGCCCTCGCTCGGGACCTCTTCCCCCAGGACTACCATTGTCTCGGTGATAACGAGAACCGACCCATACGCTGGATGGCCTTGGAGAGTCTCCAGCACAATCAGTACAGCACGGCGACCGATGTGGTACGATCGCGATTAATGTCGACAAATGTCGCGCTGCTCCGCGTTTTTCTTCTCTTTCGCGCAAGCCGGCGCACAGTGGGGCCAGATGACATTTTTGGTTCAAAATTCAATAGAGACCTGAATTTCCAACCGATCATCGACACCAATGGATGAGGTTGATCCTGAATTAATTCCAAAGAGATCTGTCTAGCCGAAATTTTGAAAAAATTATCGGTTCAGGGTTCATGGGTTTAGGGTTTGTCTTAAAAGTTTATCATTTAAAGTACAGTGTCTTGGGTTCGACCTCAATGGATTCGAGCCTGTGGATACTAAATGCGAGACCCCAGAACTTATAATCACCTTTTAGAAAACTCAGAATTTCAAAGCTCATAATTTCAGCCCACATTAAGAAAGAATCCAGCCATATGGACCCGATAAGTAAAAACATGGGAGAGCATTGAACAAAACATCCAACCCTAACCTGATGGTGCCCATGAGCCCAAAGTTTATAAACCTCAGCTCATGAACCATCATACGGAGATGGAAAGTAATCACCGTCGACATTGGTATGACCCAATGTGCACCGCTGTTAGATAGAAACAAGTATCGAATAACGAGTATTTCACAAGTTTCTCGCGTTTAACGATAATTTTTCCTCTTTTGGGGTTAGTAATTCGAGAACAAAATTTTTTTTCTAAATTTTGGCAAGACAGATCTCTTCGGAATTTACTCAGGATCAATCTCATCCATTGGTGTCGATGATCGGTTGGAAATTCAGGTCTCTAGAGAATTTTCAACCAAAGAATGTCATCTGGCCTCACTGTGCGGCGGGTTGAACGGGACGAGTGAGCTTTCACACGTCACCCCCTTCCGGGCCTCCCGCGCCGGATTGCGCGCGCACGCGCGCTAGATAAACACTCGAGTGAAACTTTTATTCGCGAAATTCCATCGGCGGAGATAATTAGATTTCGCTAATAAAACGCTCGCGAAGAGAGAGTCTCTTTGTGTCGCCGGCCGGCCGCGGCTCCGCCCGCGGAAAATCGCGGACAGCGCAGGCCTCGCAGGTCTCGCAGGCGCCGCAAGTGCGCTCTTTGCACCGTTGAAATATGCAGCGGACATGCGTTAAAGCCGAGGACGCGACGGATTTTCAGTGCCGAAAAGTGGCTCGCCCGTGCGGAAAAGCGAGAGCCGGCAATTTCGACGAAGTTCGTAGAGCGCGACGGGCGAGCTGGCGATTGAAACGTGCCGTGTTGCGATCGTTGTTTCTCCTTTGCCTCGCAGTGGTCCTTCGGCGTATTCCTGTGGGAGCTGGCGACACTGGGCCAGCAGCCGTACGTGGAGGTGGACCCGTTCGAGATGATGGCGTGTCTCCGGGACGGATATCGACTGGCTCAACCGAGACCTTGCCCCGATGAACTGTTCGCCGTTATGGCGGTCTGTTGGCTCGGCCTCTCCAGGGATCGGCCGACGATGCCTCAGCTGCTCGCCTACTTGCAGGATTTCCACGTCGCGCTGGGCGGATTCATCTAAAATCGCTCGCCGCGCGACGAATCGCCGGATGTGGACGCGGAGGTGGCCGTGCCGGAGAAGCGCCGAGCGTCCGTCGAGCTCGCAATCAAATTCCAAAGTGAGAGAGAGAGAGAGAGAGAGAGAGACAGACAGACAGAGAGAGGGAGAGAGAGAAGAAAGCGAGGAAATAGAATCAAATCGCATGGAATTGAACGTCGCTGCGCCCATTTGCGACATGCACACACACTGCCTCTAGCGGTAGCAGGTGGACACCCGGTACATGTACGCCGAACACGGCGGTTGACGATTAAACGCACCGGCTGATTCGGTTTCCAGCTAATTACCAATCAAAATAGGGTACTGCCGTTGTCTAAATCGGCGAGGAAGCTCGCGACGGGCGGCCAAAAGTCGACACGGATACATCCGTCCATAGCAATTAGAGCGCACGTCAGCGCGGTTACGTACGCGACCAACTTCTGGCGCGATTCAAGCACGAAAGCCGAAGGGGAGCCTTATCTGGGAGGTTGCGAAACCGCGGCTGTTGATAAAACGGCGGATCGGTATCTGCCGGCGAGTGCGGCGTGCCGCATCGATATACGTGCGCGTGAGATTTCGTAAAGTACGTAAGCAATCGCTCCACTTCCGTTGGCGTTTCTTTCTCGGCGCCATCGGAAACCGCGCTTCTCCGTCTCTTCGTTCTCTTTCTCTCTCTCTCTCTCTCTCTCTCTCTCTCTCTCTCTCTCTCTCTCTCTCCCTCTCTCTCTCTCTCCCTCTCTCTCCCTTTCTCCCCCTCTCTCCCTTTCTCTCTTTCTCTCTTTGTCTTTGATTTTCACGAACAGTATTTTGTGCACGATCGAGAAAATCGGTTGAACCATCGAATCATGACGATGAACGAAACGATGACGTTTTGGCTAAACAATGGCGAGAAAGTGAACCGATTTTCCGGTGGAATACGAACGATTTAGAAATTCCAATCGGAAACATCAAAACTCTCCTCAAGTTAAGTCCAAGAGTCTAGATACTTCAGACTGAACTCTGATAACTTCCACCAGAAAGTTGGTTTCGTTCAAGCAAACATTCTCGGGGAAGGAATGGAAATTTCGGGTTTGCACGAAGCAACATCGCTTCGGGGAATCCGAAAATTCCAAAAGTTCCCTTCGAGCGAAAATGCGTCCGGCTCGCTCTACGTCATGTTGATTCAGCCGATTTTCTTTCTTCGTGCGGAACAACCCGTAGCGCGAATGAAGATCCGGCTCGCCGCGTGTATTCTGTTCGGTACTTTCGTTTATGACTCGGCTAAATTTACACGAATGCCAGTAAGGATCGCTACAATTCGCAGGGATGATCTTTTGCTTCGCGACCAGTCGAGATGTTGTCTCCTCGGTCCGCAGACGGAGCGATTCTTTAACCCCCTCGACGCAGTTGTAGCGCGAGACGACCGAATGAAAATGTCGCTCCTCTTCACGCTGTATTCATTAGCGTCTGTAAATAGATGGCCGTCTTAGCGCGTAAACTTCGGAACGCTTAATTCCCATAATGAAAGCCATACATTCAGCCCGACGATGGAGCCTTCCCGGCTCTTGCTCGACTTCTTCTTATTGCGAGAACGTGAAGAGGAAATGAGGAATAAACGGGAAGGAAAGAAAGAAAGAAGGAGGGGAGAAAGGAAGGAGAATAGCTCCCGATCGGGGCGAGATATAGATTTATACATTTCTTACGAGTGGCTGTACTGTAAAATATACGTTCTCATTCGAACGATGCACCAGGTTGTTTGACAAGTTCGCAGAGATTTTGTGGAAAAACGCAGGGCCGATAAGCCCGCAGTCACAGGCAAAAGTCGATCGCCTTCGCTTTTTTATGACCTCCCGTCATCGGAGGAACGGACGGCACTGTATCGAACAAAAATTATGCCCAACCATGAAAGCGACGCCTTCGGGAGTTCGCCTGCGCGAACCTATCACCCAAAAAAAAGTAATTTCAGAACAAGCGCAATCATCTAAATTTTAGAGGATTATTCTCATATATGGCCTCAAGAGGATTCCTCTAAGGTTAAGAGGAAAATATTATAAACACTATTGTTCTTAAAGTTAGAGGGATTATATGTTGTATGTATAATGTAAATCTTGTTGATTTTAATACAAATTATTTAATCTTTCTTTAAGAGGATTATTATTTATTCTTATTATACTTTATTCTTACTGGTTATACTTACTAGTTAATTTGAAAAAATTATTATAATGTATAGCGAAAAGTAATATATAAATATATATATATATATATATAGATGTGCTTTTGGCTTCCGTTCTACAATAAGCAAGCACAAATGAAATAAGATTATCACAACAAATAAATTTCCAATCAGTTTTGTTATGGACTTCATAGCTACAAAGAGGTCCGTCATAACCAATTGTATGAAGCATAGTTAAAAGAAAGAATATATTTTTCAACTTTTTGCAATAGAATATAAACTGTATTTGATCAAATATAGGTAAACTATCTTCGTTATTTGTTACAGCAATACACTTTTTTACAAAGCGTTCCAGATGTTCTGAGCCATGAGTATGTGGTTATTTTTTCGTTCATGTCTGAAGGTAGAGCTGAAGGTATGGCTGAACAAAAAAAGCCGACATTCAAATCAACATATTCCTCTTCATATAAGAGGAAAATTAATTGATACAGGAGGAAATCCTCCTGAAATAAGAGGAAAACAGTTGGAATAATATCTAATAAATTTCAAATGAATGGTTCACACTTTGGTCGCTTTATTGAAAGAGGAATCCTTTTTCTCTGTAAAAGGCTTCGCTTAGAATATGAGACTACGGTAAAAATCACTTTACAAATAGAATATTTTCTTTTGGGCGATCGAACAACCCGATGCATCACTCAACGATAAAGGCGGACGCGTCGTCGAGATGAAACCTAGAGCTGAATACCGAGCAGTTTAGCCGCGCGAAATCGCGCCTCCCGCCGGCCGGTAGAATATAAAAATCGAGAACAATTACCGAGAATCGGAGATTTTAATGTCCGCTAGCGAGATACTTTTATATTCCTCTGAAAGTACGACAATATTAAATTATGTAACACCGACACACGCGCACACGCACACACACACATACAGACACACAGACACACGGTTGTTGCGTAAGGCGGCTGTAAAAAACGCGCGGGATCGGTTAATTAGGTCGATGCGTTCTCATTGACTCGGCTCAAAGCGAGTCACCATCGGGCCCGCGCTTTTGTCGAATCGCGCGACGGAGGTTTCCCGTCGCGAGAGGAGAGGAAAAGAGGAGAGCGCGCAGCAGTGTATGCCGTTCATCGAGCGTGAGCCGCGCACGAAAGGCGTTCGCGCGGCCCGATCGAGTCGCCCCGATCATTATTCATTAACAATCGCGATTGCGAAACCTCGGATAATCGTGACCGGAACGACGGAGAGAGCAAAGCTCTTGGAACACTTAGGAATCCTATTGTCGTGTCTGACCTTCGGCGGACACACGTTCGTTGCGTAAATGGGCGCTCGAACTATACGTACTTTGTAGTTAGGATACTTATTAGCCACGCTGCGAAAACCATTTCGATTCCCCGTCTGCGCTCGCGCCGGCAAGCTCGGCTCTCGCAAGATCGACGGGACGGATTTGAATGTCAGGTCTCGGGGAAAATGGTAGCTAAATTTCTCCCTTTCGCTCCTTACGTGTCACACACACACACACACACACACACACACACACACACACACACACACACACGTCGATACGTGTCAATTCGCGACGATCTCGCGAACGACGCGCTGCTACTTCACAGCTCGACGATGGGCTTCGGTACGATCGAACATGAGAGGAAATGTCGAAAGGATAACAGAGGGGATGACACGAGCGTCCCCCTCTCTGTTTATTCTTAAGCGCTCGGTCGATAAAAAATTCGATAATGCCGAAATATCTACGACGCGAAGACAATTTCTGACAACAGGCATCGACGAGAGATACGATCGGCGGTTCGTACTAATAATTGTACAACTTGATAAACGACAATACACACACGGGCGATGACGTGTCTTCAGGATCTTTCGGATCGACGACACACTCGTCGATCCAAGAGAAAGAGAAAAAGAGAGAGAGAGAGAGAGAGAGAGAGGGGGGGAGAGCGGCTCGTCGGCGATGTCTCGAGCGTCTAACATTTCCCTGCTATTTGAATTTTTATCGTGGCGTCACTTTATTGTTTGTTGTAAATAAAATTACGCGCGTCGGTGTCAGCGATGAACGCGGCGAAAGGTTTCGCCGTGACATTTCCATCATAGAAAGACATTACCAAGGGAAATGGAGTTTGAAAGCTTGTGCTGCTCGGCTGCTCCCACCCCGGCTCTCTAAACGGTAATTAACATTTGAGCCACATAAAAGGAAAAAAAAGAAAGCAACAATAGAGATGCATACTGACGAGTCGAAGTTCGACCCGACAACTCTCTCGTTTGTTCGCGAAGCCGTAGAGTTTGCTCGCCCGTAGTTTCCCTCTCCCCCTCCCCCTCCCCCCTCCGCGGCTCAATTACACACCGGTGCGGTCCTGGCGTTTTATATCCTGTTTTCTCGTTCCATTGGAATATTATGCGGTATAAATTGCGCGAGTGAGCAACGCTGACGTGCCGGAGCGTATTACGCTTAATCGTATTAGTTCAATTGCGCTTATTCCATGTCTTTTCCTGTCGCAGGCGTAATTGCGCAAGTATCGAAGCCGAAGTCGGCGAGCAAGGCATACACGAGCAGCGGCGGGAACGCGGGACAAGAAAACGCCTTTATCGATGTATTAAACATGCAACACTGATCTCACAGGATAAAATTAAACCGCTCGCCGGAGTAACACATTATAACACCGATATATATTACGCCAGGATATCCCAGACTCACCGCCTTTCCTTTTAACGACAAAGTCACCACGGGGAGAGAATCAATTCGACGAGAAACACGAGATACGCGGAGCGAGCCGTAATCGGAGCGCTAATCGTTGTGCATTTCCACCTCTAAATCAGATTTCGATTTGCTCCACTCGGCGAGAGAGAGAGAGAGAGAGAGAGAGAGAGAGAGAGAGAGAGAGAGAGAGAGAGAGAGCGAGATTAGTCGCGCGCGAAAGTCCCGCCGACCCGCGGATTTCGCGGAGTCTAATCTCGCCGAGAGGAAGGACGACGACGCGGACCGGCCATTTTGCCCCAGGACGATCTGCATCCGATCGTCGACGAGATGATTTTGCGCGAATTTTAGCGACCACAGTGCGAATCGTACGCGAATCACACGAGGCCGGCACTACATTGGCGGCGCGAGGCAACGCGAGACACTTTTCAATGTACTCGATGTATAAATGTCGCATGTTCCTGACCACGACCACGACCTAATCGCACCTCTGTCTTTTACTCGTCGTTCTCCTTGCCCCCCCCCCTTCCCCCAACCACCTTCTTCCCCAACTCACCTATTCTATTCGTCTCCCCCACATCTCCAATTCTCTCCAGGTCTATCGATTCACCGCGCAGGTGTCGCGAGGACTTTTACGAATCTCTCTTCGCATAACTCTACACTGCGTCCGCAGGTGCGTCTAATAATTATTGATATCGCTATTTAATAAACTATCGCTCGCTACTATTTATCGCGGCGCTCGTAAAGAGCTGCGGCGTTTGCGTCTAACGAAATCGTCGGGTTCCATGATGTATTCGTATTCCACGATGGACGTTTCTCTTTCGTTCCCTTTT